ACGCGCGCACGCACACACACACACACACACACACACACACACACACTCCAGGTATGGTACTAAGATTCTCCATATACTAGCTTAATCCTTCCATCAACCCTGGGAAATGAGCCTGAGTCTAACCATTAGCACTTCAGATGAACATACTCAAGAGCTAAAGAATGAAATCACTGCCCAAAATCACACTAATGAGCAGAGTTGGCATTAGATCCCAACTGCCTCTGACACTAACACTGCCCTCAGTCTTCATCACGCTACTTTCCTGCCTCCCTGGCCCACTCTGTGACTGAAGCTTACCTCCACAGAATAGGACAGCTGAGCACTCTGGTTCTCACTAACACGAGAAAACAGGTCCTCACAGAGCTGGAGAGAGAGACACAGAGAAGCACAGAGAAGCTCCATTCATAGCACACTTGCAGTGCCCGGCCCCAGCCAGGACCTGTCCCAGGTAACTCAGTCTAACCCTTGGCATAGGCCTGAGGGTGCAATCATTCCCATTTTACAGGTAGGAAAGCAATCTCTGAGGGGTTCACACTTGCCCAGGGTCACAGGCTGGTATTCAGCAGGGCAGGATGCAACCCAGGTATCCCACTCCCAAGCCTTGTGCAAGGTCACTATGCTACACAGCTAGGGAAAATTATGGTCAGCTCTCAGTTACCCACAACTAGATCTATCTACAGTCCATATCTTGCTTATGGTATGGAAGCCTGTTCACGAATTATGCTCTCAAATAATTATGAAACAAAGCAAACCAGCAGAAAGTGGTAAAACCAGGACCTCGACCAAGACTCTCTGATGCAAAAGGCTTAGCTCTTCTCATTCAGCTTCCCTGTCTCTTCCAGGGGCAAACCCTTCTCTGAAAGGTAGCTGGGTATCCAGACTTCAGCCAACCCCATAACATTCCCTATAACTAAGGGCCTCATGGAGCCAGATCTCTGCTCCGTAAACCTTAGACCCCTGTCCTTTCTCCCTTGGGGACAGCTGAAGATGCTCCTGCCCTGGCTGCCCAGTTAGGTCCCAGGTATGTACCTGAGGCACAATCCCCTGCTGCCCTGGCTCCTGCCGTCCCATCATGGTGTAGGACTTCCCAGCTCCAGTCTGCCCATAGGCAAAGATGCACACATTGTAGCCTTCAAAGGCATGGAGCAGCATCTCTTCCCCAATGTCTCGATATACCTGCTGTTGAGATGCAAACTGGGGGTCCTCAGCCTAGGTGAAAAGGGGGGCAGAAAAAGAAAACAGGAGCACTGGATGACTTTGTTCTTCACGTCTACGGTCCCTACAGCCTTACCACCTTCCCACTATCATCAGCCTAATCAACCCTAAGCATTCTACCCAGCCCCTGATGGTCCTAATTACCCTGAGTGATTCTACCTTCCCTGCTCCTGGTTCCAATCACAACCTAAAGGTCCTACCCATCCCCCTTCAGGGGGGTCCTTCTCCTCCTCCAGTCCCAACTAATCCTAGGACTTAAATCCAAGACTTAAAGCCCCTACCCCCTATGGTTTAGTTTCCCCAGCCCAACAACCTCACCGACGTGTGTGACCAGTAGGAATAGTCGAAAGTGAAGCTTTTGGGGGCATCCTTGCTCTGTTTGGGATTGAAGATGGCTGAGGAAGCAAGGGAGAGCAAAAGAAGAAAACCTGGGTCAGATACTCCCAGTCTCTGTCCACTCTCCCACAAGCCCCTGGACTCCAGACATCCCACTCCCCACCTCTGTCCTAGTTCATCCCTTCCCTTTAATGCTCCCCACCCCCTCCTGCCACCAAAGCTAATTTTGGCTTCCTAGGACCCGCCCCCTATGAGCTGCCTCCCTGGATTGGGCAATTGGAGGGCTCTCAGCCAACATTCCCCCTCCCAGGGACAGGAACATGGAAAGGCCAGCCTGCCCCAGCCCCCGCCGTTAAACCTAGCACCTGCTCTGTGCCCAGCACAGTTCTGACTTGGCCCAACAGGGCTGGCCTATGTGGTGGGGCTGGCCTTCCCCTCCTGTGCCCAGCCAGACCCCCGGGACTCACTCACAAGTGGTATTGCCCTGCACGCTGACCACACACTTGGCATCCTGGCTGGTCTCACGGGCATTGAAGGGCCGAACCCTCACTGCCACTTTCACCGAGGCACCAGCCATAGCTCCAGACGCTGCTGCCCTCCTCAGCTGGAGAACAGTGAAAATGAGGTGATCAGAGCCACCAGGAAGACTCAAACATTGCTTCACAGCTTCTCTTTGAAACCATTCTACTCCCCTTCCCTAGCTGACCAGCCCCTCAAGAACCCAGTTCCTGTCCCTCTGCCTTCCTCCCCAATGTCACTAGTTTAAGGAGCTCCAAACATACTCCTGCCTCTCTCCCCAGCCATTTCCCAGCTCACAGGGTCCTGGGCCATCACCCCAGAGTTACCTGGTGTCCTGGCCCCAGACCAGGGGGGCTGTATCAGTTCTGGCTGCCACCGGCCCTCGTAGGGGGAGCCCCATCCTACACTTGAGGCCTGGCCACACCAGCAGGTTCTGTAGGGGAAACCCTGGTTGTGGGGGAAGAGTGGTTAGGAGGCACCTGTGGCTCTAGAGTCTGTCTGGGATATCTGCATTTAGAGGGGAAGGGATGGGGGAATGTTAGGAAAGGTAGGAAAAGCTGCCTCTCTGGAGTGGCTGAAGGAAATGTGAATCCAAGGGCAGGAATGTGGGTGATATTTTTATTCCTCATCACTCACAAGCGTACTGAACGTTCAGACAGAGGAGAGAGAGAGGGAGAGAGAGAGAGAGGAGAGTGAAGCTGGACAGAGAGCAATTCAGAGAGGAAACACATGGGCAGAGACACTGAGGGTGGCAGGAAGGGGGAGAGTAGGGACAGAAAGTCACAGACACCAAGGAAATGAAAGAAGTAAGCCAAAAAAGACAAGACTGAAGTCATGCTATAAAGTAGAATGAGAAAAGGAAAGGGGAGACAGACTATCAAACCGAGAGATTTTGAACAGGCAGTGAGGGGTCTCGGGGGCCAGAGCACAAATTTGGAGCTACAGAAATGAGAGGAGAGAAAAGTCCCAGGCATAAAACCTAACCTATAATTCCCTACAGGACCAAGAAGGGAGAAGCAGAAACCAGTTCCCACCTAGAGTTCACAGTGGCCACATATGAAGCAGGGTCTGCGGATGGGGAAAATTCAAGAGCTGCAGGTACACAAGGCCTGCCTTTTGGGTCTCAAGCCCCTTGCTCTGCCCTTAGCACTTCCTCCTCAGGATCCAGGACAATGGGCAGGGGAGGGTGGGGTTATCCTGTATGCACCATACCATCACCCAGTGCTCCACTGATGGGGGAATCAGAGTACCCATTCCTTAGGAGGGATGGGAGAGAGATTTGACAGCTCCTTGAAAAGAGAGAAAGGAAAGGAAGCAGACTGGTCCCAGCCCCAGCCTGGAGCTAATTGTATGGCGTCCACAACCCCGGGGAAGGTGCCAGGCTGGAACCCAGGAATGTAGGTGATCGGGTGCCCACACCCTGGGAGGAGAGGCTGAGCAGCCCACGCCCACGAACAGCAAGGTGAAGACTACAGAAAGAGTTCAGGGATGTCGACTCCCCACCTGTGGCCCCAGAGGACCTCAAACCTCTGTTATGCTGGGTCTCACCTCACCAGCCTTCCTGGGTAGAGCATGGGCTGGTCTGTCCCAGGACAGGAAGGGAGTAGCCGAAATCAGAGGCTACTCAGGAAAAGGGCCCTGACCCCCAGTCCCTGACCAGGAGAGGGAAGGACACTAGTGGGAACACACAATCCTAACTAATGCAACTAAGAGAACAGGTAAAAGGGTGGCAGGCTAAAAGATAGCAGGGTAAGGAAATAGGAGGTAGATCCAAGGCTCTGCCGATGCAGCGGGGTACAAGGAGGACCAGTGGCTGGGAGTGGGCCGACCTACCCAACAAGGGGTCTCAGACCACCACCTGCACCTCACCCACCCCGCAATTCTCTAACAGGCCCTGCCCGGCCTCTCTGGGCAGCCGTGCGGACCCTAGCCCCTAGTCCAGCCGAACGACGGCTGCCCTGGGCCTGGCACCTCTCTGTGTCTCCGCGGGACAAACAGCACATGATCCCAGCTCTCGCGCCCAGCCGGTGCAAACGGGACCCCGGCTCCCCGCCCAGCAGCCCAGCACATTCCTCTGCGGGCGTCCCCTCCCTTCCCCCCTCCGCAGCTCTCACCTCGTCGCGGCGGGGCTCCCGGAGTATCTCCGCGAAGTGCAAAGGGACAAA